TAACATTTTTCTTTTTTTACTACCATTAACATTTGTGGCTTCTCACAAGCAAATTTTATGTCCACGTTATACAGTGAAATCGCTGATTACAAAAGATGTCCTAGTTATGGATTAAAATACACTATAATAAACATAAAGCTTTATTGTTCCTTTAGGTTGTTGTTTTAAGCTAAAGTAGGATATTTTCTAAAGTCCTCAACAACAGTTTACAATTTAGAATTAAATGTGTTTTCTGCTTATACTCGTGCTACTGAAGAAACGTACCTAACAGACCTGTCACTTCTTTGTGCAGTTGTTTCTGTGGCGTTATTTTCATTGGTAAATGTACGAGCTGATAGAAAAGGAAATCATTAGGTGCTCTCAGTATTGCTGAGGCATGGAGCTAGAACAGGTCGGTCACTGCATTTTGCAGATTGTGACATTTTAAATTACCTGTACACTACTGGAAGCAATCTGTGGACCTAATTAACGTCTCACCTAATTAATGTCAGGACTGTATATTGGGAATTCTAGATAGTTTTGCACTGCCTTTATTTATGAAATACCACATTATTCAAATTTACTATCTTTAATTTCAGTATTGAAAACTTCAGATTTGTGTGCTGTTTTCTTAAGTGGGAGTAACTTTTTTTTTTTTTCCTCCTTCAAGTAATCAATGCACTGCTGAATGAGTTCATTTTAATGCACTCAATCATGCCTCTAATGTTTGTAGCTTACGGGCGCAAGCATCAGTAATGCAGGAATGTTATATGGCTTTAGTTTGGGCCATTTCATAAAATATTCATGGAATCAAAAATGTGCATCAAAATAGCGGCTGCGAGAATTACATTTATGTGCCTGCTTTTATGGCAGCTTCACATTTAAACCCATTTGTGTTAATATCTAGTCAATCTTTCTACTTTAAAAAAAAAGGCAAAATAGTAGTGTCCATATATACCCCTTTTGGTCTGATATCTATTTTGATATGATAAATATATACTTTTGGAGTGGGAAGGGGAATTATAAAGGAAGTTTTAGATAATGTAAAAACGTTTCTCTTCAGTATTTACAAAATTACATTGAGTTCTTTTGCTTGAATGAATAGATTTATTTTTTTGACTTCTAAGTAACTCAGTGAAAACTGTAGCACAAATCTTTGTGCATACATGTGTAGTTTTTATGAAAATAAGAGTAATTTCTAAAATTTGATACTGTTAATGACAGAGTAATGTCTTATTTAATTGTTTAAAAGTAATGCTTTACTCACAAAATTATATTGTGATTATGTTTACCTCCCATATTTAAGATTAAACTATTGCTAATAGGGTTTATTTAGTTATATCCAGAGCTATGTTAAACTATAACATTTTAGTAGTGGTAATACCTATGTTGTAAGAGTTACATTTCTGTTTTTTAATTCCTTTTATAAACACGGAAGAGATAACAGAGATTCTCAAACTCCATTTAGTATGCAGTGAGCTAATTTCTGCATGGCAGTGGGAGCAGCAATTGCTGTAAATGTTGCCAACTGAAAATAGCTGTACTGCTCTGTGTAACATTTTGCAAATAGATTTTTCAAGTATAGATTTCCTAGAGACACCTTCTGAACTTTCTCTTTGAATTTCTGGAGATATAAAAGATAGATTTCTACAAACTATTCCAAGTTATTTTCTTATTAACTGTTTTTCCTCTCGTATTCATTGTTTTTTCTCTCATTTTGCCTTTTTTTTTTTTTTTACTTCTTTTCTTTCATTTGTTAGAAAAAAGCAATTTAAAACTCTGCCTTGTCACTGCTAAAGGTGGGATAAAAATAGTCTTACTCTCAGAACTGCTCTGTAATTGGCTTATCCCTTTCTTTTAACGTTTTTCAAGATTTTCAGACAACATCTGCCTGTCTGCACCTAACAGTTGCAGTAGTTAAGTGTTTAAAAATTGGAATGCACTAACCAGATTGATTCCAATAGCCAATGAGAACAAGGGATTTCTGATTATTTTGAGGAGGAATGAGTTCCTAAGTCTGAAGTGTTTTGCCTTCCATGAATTTGAGAGGTCTCCAAATAGCTAGTATTACTTGAAAGGGTCTTCAATAAGTACATTCCAAACCAAGTAAGGGCTTTCAGGTCAGGAATTCCATCTCTCCCTCATTTAGGAAACTAGCAGGTGTTTTGGTTTTTGGTTTTTGTTTTTTTTTTTGCTCAGCATCTTCTTTTTGGTGAGCAGATTGTATTACATAATCTTTCTTGGTAGTTCAGTGAAGCCAAATGTAATATAGTTCCATTTGAATACTACCAAAAAGATTCTATTGCTTTTGTATTTTGAAGCTCCATGTAGATGGATTGTTTCTAGAGAGGTTTCACTGAGATCTGGCAAAAAGGATGTCAGGTCACAGCTCTTATGGTTAGGTCAACTCTTAAGAACTATGGTGCACATGGAATATATGAGTTCAATTCCTAGTCTGACAGAAACTTTCTCAAGGGGATACTACAAGTGAGGAAGCATGGGTAAGAATTACCATACCTGATAGTTCTAACAATCTAAACAATAGTTCTGAACCTTGCACGTATTATTTACCTAAATTATGTGTCCTGTTAAGAGATTATATTGCAGAGTATTAGGAGAAATTCAGATACTGTGTTCAGCTCCAAATTCTGTATCCAGATGATACCATTCATTTGTTTGCTGTTTCCCATTCTTACTAGAAATTTTTGAGTCAAATCAAACTCTATTTTTCTAAAGAATGTGGTGAAACTAAATCACTTATATGTATGGCAATACACTTTCAAAAGGACAATCAGTTGATTAATAAACTTTGGGGAGAATTCCAGAGAGGAGTCTGTATATGCTTATAAGTATCCAAGTAGATATAATGCTAGATCTAGCTATTGACATTAAATTTCAACTCAACTTTCCGTCTTTTGACACAAAGACAACACCAGCTTCTTCAATTGGTATCTTAAATCTGCATTTAGCAACTTGGGTAACTGGAATTCTGTTGACTTCTGAGTTGGACTTACCCTAAGAAGTTAGCTAGACTGAATAGGCAGAAGCCCAAGTTCAAATTGGAAGCTCTTTAGAATGGACAAAAGGTTTCATCTCTATTTCCTGTTAGGTGTACTCTCAGTGAATTCTTCAACAGCTTGTACTAGCCATGATAATTTCACTTTGCATTTCTGTTTGTTCAGTCCGATGTCAAGTATGTGATATTTTGGAAAGAATATGTAGATCTTTTCTTGTCTATTTACAGAATCTGATAGCTACTCTGGCAATAAGATTTATTTTGAATGTTTTCATCTCTCCAATACCTGTCCCTAGCTAGAGTGGAACTGAAGAAAGCTTGCTGTCTCCCCTTTCACCTGGCACTTGACTCTTCAGTGCTTTTTGTTGTGTCCTCTGGGACTCTAACATGAATCATAGGTTGTAGAGCCTTGAAATGATTTGTCTGTGAAACTCACTTAATTAGTTGCTTCTTTGAAAGAGAAGTTTCTTGTGCTTGTCAGTTTTAGTTGAACTAATTTTAATCATCAGAGAAGCTTAATATGAAAATAAATGTAATTCTAATAAAGATGAGTTATGTTTTATATTGCAAAGTTGAAAACATGGTTATAAAAGGGTAACGTATGCGAAAGACAAATCTAAATTAAGTTAATAAGAGGAATCTGTCATAGCTGTTCTGCTGCCTCTAGGTTGGTGAGAGGCCGTTTTCTCTTGGAATGCTTAAAGAAGGTCCTTGTCTAAGCTTCTCTCCCTTCCTTTCCTACAATTGGGAAACAACTTTTCTCCTTCCTGGTTCTTTTTGTAATTTGAATGCAACACTGTAAAAGCAATCTGCAAAACAGTAATTGTTCCTTATAAGTCATGTTTCAGAAGAGATGTAAACTGCAAACACATTGTAGTTGATGGTTGGTTTCAGCTTTTAATAGAAGTAGCAATTGATATATTGATGATCTATGGGAAAAGTTTCCTTCATCACACCCATGTACAAACTTAGGAAGGAAGGGTCACATCCACAGTTTTCCCTGCTATAGGACATTCTTTGTAAAACAAGGTCCTGTGACAAGAATGCTTTTATTTTATTTTATTTTATTTTATTTTATTTTATTTTATTTTATTTTATTTTATTTTATTTTAAATTTTATTTTATTTTATATGTAAATGGTCTCATCTTACCTGCTTTCCAGAAGATTTTCTATTGCTTTTGTATAAGGAAAAGCTTTTCTGTTCTTTCAAGGGGCTTTGAATTTTCGTTGTCCAGAAAGAGGACATAGATTGCATATATACACGGAGATAAATCTAGCTGAAGGTACAGGGGAGGAAGGAACTGCTTACATGGTAAAACGAATTGAACTTTATCTTCAAACTTTCATTTGCCTTAAAGATGTTTGAGACACTTACATTTGAAGACCTAAAAGTGTATTACTTCAGGCTCAATAATTAATCTATTAGTGGTTATTGCTCTTCCAGTAAGTTTACTACATAAGTTGGCCTGGTAATAACTGTTGAATAAATTACTTTGCATAATAATTTTTTGTCATCAGTTAATTTATTTGAATAAAGATTTTTCTTCCCCCACAGTTTTTATACTTCTATTCTCCAAATTTCAAATCTTCCAGCACAGGTTTTCAATATGGAAAAAGAGACTGGAGGAACAGTTTGAATTGTGATTATTTATGCATAGATGTGATTTTGAAATATGCGCTCCACAAAGGCTATATTCATGAATTTATAGTAGATTTATTTTCTAGAAAATTCTGACTTTGCATCCTTGGGATCACACACGCCCAACATTGTAAATTGACAAAGGAAAGCTAATTCAAAATATGCTAAATTTAAATTACAGCATTACTGGTAACTGTGAGATTTGGCAGTATTTTCCAGTGCTCTGTAAGTTTTATATTGAAGATTCTTGAAAAATCTGTGATATAATTGGCTGCAACTTACTTTCTAATGAGAAAATTATTATAGACTAATAATTAAAAATTTTGTTGATTACACTGATTGTAATTACTGATGACATTTTTCAGGTCATGTCATGAAAGCTGCTGAGCATTATGAAGCATTTTATCAGCTAACAAAGGGTTCGACATGGAAGGATGAGACAGACCATACTTACAATTCACTGGCGTGTGAGCTTCTCTGGAGAATTTATACATTGCTAGCAGACAAAATGCTAGAAAATAAAGAACACCAACAGGCCATCGAAATGCTAATAAAAGCTTTAACAATGGCAAGAAAAGGTAGGTGGAAAATAACACTTTCACATCCCTTTATTTGATGTGCATGCCATGATTTTCCCAAGAGTAAAGTAGAAATTGTCAAGTGTTTGACTGGGTGATTATTTCCTATGAAATTCAAAGACAAATGCTATCAATACACTTCCAGATCTCACTAAAGCAGAAATGCCTTCTTGCTGACAACAAAGAATCTTTTTAGATTCCTGGAAGCTTTATCTCCAAAAAAAGAACCTTGTGGGAATAATAGTATGAAACTGAACCCATAATCAGAAAGTGAGGTCACTGATTGAAGTTCAGCTCACTGATTTTGATTGGCTGGTCACTGTTGATTTGGCAGTTTTTGAGTGATATTATCTGCTGGGTTACTACCTTTTCACCCTGTGTAGTTACTTAGTACTTGCAAAAAACAGTGTTCTATCATAAGCAAACAAGATTTATTCTGTATATCTTAATACACTTAAATACTTTGAAATCTAAAGTAAAAATTTACATAATCACAGAACAGCTGAGGTGGGAAGAGAGACCTCTGGAGTTCATCAGGATCAGCTACAGCAGGCTGCTCACAACTACATCCAGTCAAGTTTTTAGTAGTTCCGCAGGTAGAGACTCCATAACGATTCTGGAAAATATTTTCCAGTGTTCTAACACCCTCAAAATAAAGGAGTATTTTGTTGAGTTAAGATGGAATTTCAGTTTGTGCATATTGCCTCTTGTCCTGTTACTGAGCACCACTGACAGGAGCCTGGCTCCCTCTTCTTTACAGTCTTCCATCAGAAATCAGTACGCATTTATGAAATGCCTCCTGAGCCTTCTCTGCTGTGGTCTGAACGGTCCCAGCTCCCTCAGC